ATATGTATACATATATATTTTCTTATAAGTAATTGACACGAAGACTGTTATTAAGACTGATTTTTTGTTAGACGACTCATTTTTAAATGCTATATTATTTTCATTGATTATTATTATCAATTTGAATTTTTTTGTTTAAAAATCTCTAAAAAATTCATTTTTTTCTATTCTCACGTAAATTGACTTATTTTTTTCTTAAATAAAATAATAGGCATTTAAAAAATAATTGTTAAGAACAATGTTTATGTTTATTAATTAGATAAGGAATCTAAATAAATACTATACGTTTCATTTAGAGGTTTACTTTATTTCAAGAATTCATCTCAACATATTCCACTACATAATTCTACATCTTGATTATCATTCTCATAAACATTTCTTTTTCAATTTTTCTTAAAAACATTTATTATATTTGCACCATTATTCTCATTGTAAGTACTTTTGTTAAAAAAAATTTAAAAATTAAAAAAAGGATTGCGCAAGAGAAAAAACGCGCGCGCGGCAGCGCGCGATCGTTCTCGTGTTTTTAAAAAGGAGAAAAAGATGAATGTAATTAATTTGAAAGAAATATTAAATATTAATTAACACTCACCTTGCATAGTTAATTAAACATTTCCTTTATTTTAATTTTTAATAAAGAATATAATTTGGCCCGCGCTGGTTGCTAGACGGACGAATGCCAGTACAACGCCGGGTGCTTGGTGGGCTGAAACCTGCACCGATCCGGACGCATTTTGCAATAGAATCACAGTGCGAATGTACTTTCGGCTCTTTAAAAATTAATAATACAAAAAATGTTTAAAGCATGATGGATTAAATTTATTATTATTATTAATTTTTATTATAAAAAATAAAAATAGCAAAACTTGTCAGATTTTAAAAGATATTTGTGGTAAGATTTTTAAAAGCGAATTTATAAAAAAAATTATCCTATATAAAAATAAAACTAATTTGAAAACTAGTAACAATTACTATATTCTAAGCATATTCTTATTAATAAATTAATTAATTAATAATTTTTAATTCACTTATTTATTGATTTATTATCAATAAATAAACAAATAAGTAATATTAAATAAATTTAATCAAATTTATTTAATATTACTTATAATTTATTTATAATAAATCAATAAATAAGTAAGTAAATTAAATTAATTAATATATTAATAATAAAATAAATTATATAGTTCTCAGTCGGTAGAATGCCTGTATTGCTCGGGTCATTAGACGGACGAATGCCAGTACAACGCCGGTTGCGAGGTGGTATAAAGCGCGTTCCACACTAGATGCACGACACAACGCGCGTGCCCCCTCTGCTCCATCTACCAAATGCTTTCCTCTCCTCACGTAGGAGAAGTTAGCATTGGAGAGGGGGCACGTTTCACGTGCCGGGCATCTAGTGTGGAACCTGCATTAAATTTTGATTCGGCGGTCGGATCAAATCTTTTACCGCGCCTGTACTGCCGACAGTAGAAAGACTGTACCGAACGTCGGATTCGACTTTGTACCGCGCCAGCAGACATTCTCATCCAAATCGGTACAGACTGCCTGCACTGGCATTGACTCTCCAATTCAACCGGCGCGGGCGCTAGACGGTTAGACGATCCGGTATTCGTCCGACTTTTCCGCCTGGGAAGATAAGTTTTTGTATATTAGTTAGTATCTTAAAATGTTTTTTTTATTGTTATTATTTGAGAAGACAAAGATTTTAGTAAAGTTTTGAGGTAAATAGTCGTATGAGTCTCTTTGTAACGTGAACTTCGTAAAATTTCTGTTTTTAAATGATCGAGAAATTTTTTCTCAGGGTGTTAAAATCATCGAAATTAACAATTTTAAATTAGTAAAAATCGTTATAATTATCTTTTTATATCGTACAATAATATTCTAAATGAATATTATTAATATTGTGCTTTAAAAAATTTTTTCATTAACGTTTAAAAAATTGTGTCTTGGCCCAAAGGTGGACACTTTTTTGGCCACAAGGTGGTCACTTTTGATTTTTTATGAAAATGTGTTTATACGCTATATTTATCAACATTTATCACTGTGAATGTGAATTTTATCAATTTTTAAGTTTTATGATGAATAATAATCAAATAGAATAATTTTCAAAACTTTACCTGTCTAATACATGCACAAAAAGTATCATTTTTGACGAAAGGACAAAGTGCAAAAAAAAATATGTAATATGTTTCTGTGATCCTGAAAAACAATTAATATTAAATAAACAACTTAATAATACGTTTATTACATTTTTTAAAAACTTTTTTAGTGAATTTATGTATGGTGACCACCTTGGGGCCACTTTTTTAAAAGTCGAATTTTCAACTTTTTTTAAAAAGTGCCATAACTTTTTTTTATTAATGAAATGAAAAAAACTTTTTGATAGGAAGTTAGGTAATAAGATAAAGTTTCAAATGCCGTATTATTGACCTTTATATATAATTCCATTTGAAATCTTCAGTCGTTCAAAAGATGGGTGACCACCTTAGGGCCCTCTCCCCTAAATGCAATATTATAGATAAAAAAACCCAACTGGCCGGTTTAATACCCCAGGGGGTGAGGCAAACCGGCCAGTTTGTAAAATTTTTTAAAGTTAACACAGCAACTAAACAATAAAACATAAAGTATAGGTGTCTCTGGGAAAAAGTTGCGCAATTAAATGATCTTTCAAACAACACGGAGAAAAAGGAATAGTTGACACATCCAGATATGTACATGGATATCACAGCCATATTATATTGAAAAATACGGGATATCCATAGTTAAGGTTGCTGCATCCATATTCTATGGCTGGCTGTATATTGTTGGAGCAGCAAAAGATCTATGGTTGGGTGATCTATAGTAATGGAAATGGGAAGCAAAAAATTGGAATCACTCAATTAATTAAATTCAATGTCACTTGAGATATTTTGTACACATTTTTGTTAATTAATACACACCAGTTATTGAATAACCGCATATTAACGAAATAAATTATTAACCGATGGGGGGAGACACGAACCCTAGACCTAACGCATACTATTCTTTTTTTCTTAAAACTTCATTTCCCTTATGAATTTTGCTTTGTTTTAGATGAGATAATTCATTTCTATTATCTACATTTACTTTAAAATACCCAGATAACAAAATGCGCGTTGTGTGCTACTAATATCATCTGCACGCGTGCCGATTTATCCGCACTATGCGCGTTCACTGGACCACTCAGATGCGTCATCATATGCGATCCATAACTGTCGCATATTGTGATGGGCACATGCGTGACGGTATAATGCGAATAAATTATATTTATACTTCAGCCTTATTTGAATTAAATAAAAAGAAAAGATTATTGACATTAGTAATTTTTTTTAAATTAAAATGTTATTTATAAAAACGATTTTAATTTAATATTTCAGTACAATTTTGGAATTGAAATTGTTAAAAACTTCCAAATTCTTTTTTTGAGGTTATATCTAATACAACAAAAATATATATGTACTTTAAACAAATTAAATTTAACTTTCTTATTTTGCTGCAGTACTAAAAATTAAATCCACAATAATTCCTCACAATAATATCGCAATAAAAAACAATAAAAAATGAAATCACAATAAAAACTTATTTTGATAACACACCACAAACAATGCTGTCGCCATTATAAAATGTGTGATTGCCGATACGGGTGGTTGCGCATCATTAATTGCGTGCGTATTAAGTGCACACGCATTCACAGCATTCGCACTGTGGATGGTAAAATGCGTATGGATTGACTCTTCTAGCAAGTCGCACTTGTGAACGGAACATGCTTATCATTTTGTATCACAGGCGCTTACGAAATGCAGTTCACAACACTCGCATTATTACCAGCGTCACAGACGATAGTAAGATGCGTATATGAACCGACTCATCTGGTAAGTCGCAGTTAGTGCAAGAAACATGCGTTTAAATGCGACGCACGATTGTTATCTGGGTAGTGTTACATTAATAAAAATTAGAGCTGTGACAAATAATTCGAACCGAACTGTTCGAATTTTTTCGCCTAGTTCGAATGTCGAAAATTCGACATTCGAGTTAGCTTAGTTCGAATGTCGGTTTTTCGACATTCGAACTAGCCCAGTTCGAATGTCGAAAAACCGACATTCGAACTATCCCACTTCGGATGTCGAATATTCGACATTCGAGTTACTACAAAATTCGAACCGAACCGAGTTTTGTTCGTTTTTGGTACGCTAAAATGTCGAATTCTAAAATTCGACATTTCAGTCGCCCAATTCGAATGTCGAATATTCGACATTCGAACTAGCCCAGTTCGGATGTCGAATATTCGACATTCGACATTTCGGCGCCCCAGAACCGAACTAAACTCGGTTTGGTTCAAATTTTGCACAGCTCTAATAAAAATGCTTTAAAAGTCACCTCGTATACAAGCATCTATACACTTCTCATTACGGAAAAGGCTCGTATGAGAGATTTCTCATATTTCTCATACGAGCTACCGAGCTCGTATACGAACTCCGCGGTCCGTGTACCGAATTTTTTTTACTGGATAATATTCCTTATATACTCTACACATATTTCATGAAAATGAATTTACATAAAAACTAATAGACAATAACGATAATAAATAATAAACAATTATAACACTATTTATACACAATAAACTCACAACGTGATTATATAGACGTGACAGGAAACCGACGTGACGGACAAATTGAGACGACCATTTTTAAATGGATGCCATGATAATGAATTGCGCGCAACATCCCGGTAAGAAGGAGTGAATTGAAAAGGAAAAAAACGTTTCTATCCAATAGAATGTCATTTTTGTCCACGATCAAATGAATTCCGAATTAAGAGTTAGCTGGAATTGGACGACATTAAAGTGCTAACAGTCCTTGCAATGGAGAGTATAGAATAGAATAGGATTAAACTGTTATCAAGTAAATAAAGTATTTAGAATTAACTTGTTTATACATTTTTAAATTAAATTAAATACAAATAATAAGAATAAATAAAGACAAATAAATTTAAAGCGATAATAAAATATTTAATTTTGCTTTAAATTTTTATAAAATTAAATTTAAAACATACATAGTAGAAAAGTTATTCATTTTTAAACGTGTTTTTTTATGAAACATTTAGGGCTCCAACCACGATGTATCTGTTGATTGAACGAAGAATACAATAAATAATCAAAGATATTTCTTTTTAATACTAATAATACTTCACGTTTTCATACATTTATCAGTCTTTTTAATCTTAATTTAAGCATTATGACTGTATTCGTATTATATTAATACATAAAATTACTAATCACATAAAATAGAAAGATACTAACAATATTTAAATACTGTAGATGAAAATAAATTTCAATTTAGCATAACATTAAACAATGATTCGGTTTTAAGTGACAGTTAATTTAAAATTAAAATGAGATCTTATTTTTGTTAAAATAGAGATAAAATATATCCAAATATAATCATTAAAGTGCGATTTCCTGAGAAATTTACTACTTTTCAGGCTACTCTTAATAAATTTGTCATTATTACATTTATTGCTTCTCAAATAGCTTAAAAACAATTTTTTTATATTTCGCAATTAACAAAATAATAGTTGACTGTTATTGTTAAAATATTAAGAGATAATAATTGCCTGGTAGTTTCATTTTTCTTAATTTTCTGCAACACACTACACTTATTTACCTTAAATTTTTAAAAAGATATAACAATTTTTAAAATTTTCATTAGTTTTAAATTTGAAGTCATATAATAGTTATTTTAATTTAAAACATTTAGTTCTTTTAAACTTTGTCCTCATAAATATAATACTATTTTTAAAAAACATTTGTTATTATGCTCCAAGAAGTGATGACCTTTTTGTGGAATCACACTAAAAAGTTAAGTAGCCAAACGATAAAAAATCTTTTAACTTTATATTAATTAAAGATTAAACGTTGCTGCTCATTTGTAGAGGATCCAGCAAAATGTCTTCTTCATCACTCAAGTGAGAATCAAGCAGTGCACTTTCATCCAAGTTTAAAAGAAACATTTTTTCCTCGTTTCCTATATCATTTTCAATTTCAACATTACTTAGGTTTAGCACATTTGCTATATTTCGTTTTTCCATAGAAACGTCACTTCCTGTGACATCTTCTTTGGAAACCGATTGATTATTATCAATTTCTTCGGATTCGGAAACTCTTTCAGTTAGTGTTGCAGTGTCGACATTCTCTTCTTCCTCTACCCCAAGGAGATTTCGTTGATTTTTTTCTGCATACGCTTTTGTTTTCATTTCTTTAATTTGAGCTATTTTCTTGCTAATATAAAGATGAACTTTGCCTGCAGCAACATCAGCATCTTCTTCTTTCCACTTTTTTTCCGTAACCAGATAATAACTGTAGAAATCTAAAAGATATATGAATTTAAATTAATACATTCATTATTAAAAATTGGCACTTTTCTTATTATTTTTCGATGCTGCAATATTAATAACTTTTTTAGTCAAAGAATAGAAAAATTGGAAGCTTAGAAAGTATTAAAAGTAACACTTTTAATAAAGACTTACAAAATTTTTTGGGATATAGAACGTTTAAGTGTAAAAAATAATTAAATTTCAAAACCGTACGTTCATTTTTAGGTTACGTTATAATTGTTAGACTTTGATTTAATTTAAGAGCAATCGAAAGTTTAAGAAAATAAAGATATTTTGTAAAAAGTTAGACTTGTTCTATAGACTATATGTGACTGTCCACGAGAAAACAAGGCTTAGCTCCCAAACGTGAATTTCACAGGGCGAGCGATTGAAGTACTACGATTGAAGTTAACTACGCTTGACATACCCATCTTTAAAACGATATATTGTCGAAAGTAATTGATATTTTTAACTTCTGACTTTTGCATTTGAAAAAGCAACATAAAATCTGTCGATTACCATAAAAAACTCAAATTGATTTTTCCGTGTTTTATCGTGGACAGTCAACGATTGAGGTTAACTACGCTTAACATACCCATCTTTAAAACGATATATTGTCGGAAGTAATTGATATTTTAACTTTTGACTTTTGCATTTGAAAAAGCAACATAAAATCTGTCAATTACCATAAAAAAATAAAAATTGATTTTTTGGACCTAAGCCTTGTTTTCTCGTGGACAGTCACATATGTATTACTTATTTTTTTAAAGTAATTTCAATTACCTCTAACAGCAAGTAAAATTTTCGGGTCCAGCCTTTTGTTAGGATTTTTAGTTTGCTTATTCCTATTACTCCCCTTGCCAGTAACAGTGGTCTCTGATAAATAATCGTATCCGCAAAGTGCAACCAAAATATTTTTGGCGAAAGTAATATGTCTATTGTTAGGCACATGAAGAGCTAAAGTCCATGCCTGCATTGATAAGTATAATCCTTTACCAATATGAACCTATAAAAAATAGATTTATATTTAATAATTCTATTATGGATACTGTGTATATATTTTATTCTTTATTTGACTTATTCTTTACCAGTCTAGTCAACTTTCTACACAGAATTTTTTGATTGATTTGAAATTTTTTTACATTTTGTTACACTATATGAAGGAAATAAATCTCCAATATTAAAAATAGGCAATATAATCAAAAAACAGCTGCTCACAAAAACATTTTTTTAGGAAGAGATAAAATAGCATTTTTTAAACTGTAATATTTTCATGCACTCGGAAGAAGTAAGATATTTAACCTGAGTGTCATCTTCTGTAATAAATCCAATTGCTGGGTATTTACTGCCTTCTTGGGAAGCTGAAGATTTTTCTACGGTCGCTTTATGAACTTCTATATAACATAAATGCTAATTAGATTTTAATAATTTAAATTAAATAATAAAAATTCAGTTATATGTAATTACCTAATAAAGTCTTATATTTATCGAGTCCTGTTTTTTGCCATTCCATATTTAATTTTCGAAGATTGGACTTTTGAAGATTTCTTTGTACTTCATCATCCAAGAAATTTATTACATTTTCTTTAGTTGACAAATCATGATCTTTCTTTAACAGGCTATCCTTTAACATATTTATTTCCTCGAAAAAGGATGCATTCTCTTTTTCCAAGGATTCAATTTTATTTTGTACATTTTCCTGCAGATTATAATTTGCTTAAATTTAATTATATGATAAAGAGGTATATATTATTACTATAATTATTTTTAAAAAATTTCCTTACAATATTTGTATCGTTAGTCTTGATATTTGAAGAAACATTAATCATATTATGTTCACCACTTGTATTATCTTGATATAATGGTTCTTTCTCTGAAATATGAATAATATCACTTTTCGCCAAAAGCCGGTTATTATTCTTTGTTTTTAAATTTTCTAGACGCTTCTTTACCGTTTGAGGAATTTTCTCTTGTGTTGCCTACAAGAAAATATCTCAAATAATAATATTTCATTTACAAATGATCAATTAAATAATAAATTAACTTTTTTAAAATATTATGTCAATTTAAAAATATGCAATAACACAAAAAATATGTTCGTTAATTCGAAGTAGATATAAAAAAACTAACCTGCCGTTTGCGACTAGAATTAGAAGGTTTCTTTTCATCATCAGTTGTTTCTGCAGCGGAATGTAGTAATTTATTTAAAAGTTGTCGAGGTCGATGATTCTGAATGATAAGATCCAACTCTTTTTCGTTTTCTGAAATTTTGTAAAAATAAAGATAAAATTAAAAATATATAGTGAAACCAAACAATTGTAGTGAACAGGGAAACGTATATTTATTTTTTCAAAAATAACAAATATCAATGTGAACATTCAATTTTCAAAGGTCAATTAATATTTTCTTATTTTTAAAAGAGATTACAAATAAAAATAACGAAATATATGAAGATTAACGTAAAAATAATGTCCACATTTTATTAACAATTTTCTATTTATGTACTTTTTAAATACTGTCATTTTTAATGTTTCAAAAAAAATTTTTTAAGAAATTTTTTAGAATGTAAGCATAGAACACGTAATCTTTTTTATAAAAAATAAAGCTATCAAATATGTCTTACCAAGCAAAATTATAAAATTACTCTAATTAGGGATTTATTTATATCAATAATAAATTAGAAAAGATAAATTAATATCAAATTTTAAAAATACTCAATTTAGGGGAATGTAGTCAAGGTTGGTCTACTGTCTAGGTAGGCCATCGCGATTTTGTGGACAAGTTCACTAGCGCCACCTACGCGCATGCTTGTCGAAGCTTGTCTTAGTGTAACCTAACTTTTTGTTCAATTACATTTTCGGAAAATCAAAAATTGTGTTTTCTGTGACGTCGGTACAAAAAAAGCTCAAAAAAAGTTTTGTGCATAATGTGAAAAACCATTAATAAAAGATAAAAAACAAATTGAATCGTCAAGGCAAGTATGCAGAAAATTTGTGGGACTCATGGTTGAAAGAAAAACAAAGTAAAAAATCGAATCCCGAAACGTTTTTCTTTATGGTTACAACAATTCGGTAATGTTACTTACTGTCAAGGTCGGCCACTATGTGTTTAAAATGCGCAAAGATGAGGACGAGCTACTTCATTTGCAAAAACTGCAATTCTGTATAACTCATAATATAATAGATCATCTTATTAATATTTTTATTTAATTTTATTAATATTTTAGTGCAAAAATTTTTTTTATTTATATTTATTTTTTTATATTGTTATTATTTTGTTATTTCATTAAGTTACAAACTGTAAACAATAAAGAATCAATTTTCCGTAACTCCAAACATGTTATTTTATTTTTTAACGATTAATGCCCTTTGAATTTTAAACATGGCCGACCTTGACTGTAATGGCCAACCTCGACTACAAATTTTTTTTTTTAAATCTTTATAACTTTTTCAATTTAAAACCAATCAATTTACTTTGTACAGAAAAGATGTTCCTATTAAACAGGACTTTCCAACCATATACTTCAATTGTCCAAATTCATTTTTAAGAAAAAGTTATAAACAAAAGTCAAAAAGGTGGCCGACCTAGACTATGTTCCCCTAATTTATAAAAATTAATTCTTTTTACTCTGACAAACTAAAACATTAACCTATAAAATGACTTGTTTGCTTACAAATGTCAAAATAATATTGTTTGGTAATTGATTTATTATAGCCATGGCATTTTATTAAACATTTTTACTTACCTGCCATAAAGAGAATAATACATTCTGTTTGAGGTTCTCCTTCTAATTTATACTTTTGGTTAGGCACGTGTTTTTCTGCGCTGAATTTCTTAATAATTTTAATAGGAACTTTCTTTTTTATTTTTGTTCCTCCGGTTCCTCCTAATATTAAAACATATGCTACAGACATTATTCAAAATTAATACTGAGCAAAAATTTCACTTTCAAAACTAAACTTTTACATTCGTCGAAAAATTGCGATTGATATTTATACACCATGTACTTCCGGCAAATTTTTTCCAAGAGGAATTGAGAACGAGGAAGATTCCCAAATATCACGTGACTTGTTGAATTATGCAGACGATGAAACAGACGATGAAGATTTTCAAAATATGGCGCATCATAATAACAATTCTTGTTCTATTAATTTGGAAGAAACTCTAGTAAAAGAAAACATACCGACGAGAAGAGAAGAAATATTACGAAATGATCCGACTATTGTTAACAAGGGCCAAAAAGTTATGTTCGAAAAATCAGGATTAACAATCAATGATGTAATGGAGATGGTCGTGGGTTTCAGTATCAGATTTGGTAGTACTAATCAACAACGTGAATGGCTTTTAGAAATGTTAAAAGTCTGCGCAGGTTCATCATTTAAAGATGTTAAATTATCGAACTATAAGGTTTCTAAATTATGTAACACTCCTTCCGACAAGATCGTTTATCACTTTTATTGTGACAATTACGAAAAAAAAGATTCTGTTTTATATTCTGGTTTTAAGAAAGAAGTAAAGGGTCAAAGAAAAATTTGTTCAAAATGTGATAAAGAACATAGTATCGTTCTTAGCAATACAAATTTTTTTTTATCAATTGATTTAGAATATTAAATTAATTTATTATTACAAAATGAAGAAATTGCAACATTTGTCTTCGAAAATTTTAAAAGTCGAGAAACTGAAGTCTTCGATCCTATAATTTGTGATATTCATGATGGACAATTACACAAATCTATTATTGAGAGAGATAGTAAAATGTTAACGTACGTACTTAGTACAGATGGGGCTCCTCTTTTTATCATGTCGAAACGTTCATTTTGGCCCTTGCAAGTAATATTGAACTTTTTGCCTCCTCATCTTCGATTTAAATATGTACTACTTGTTGGCATAATGATTGTCGACAAAAGCCAAAACCTGACATAATGAATCTATTTATCAAAAAGTTTGTAGAACAAACGAAGCATTTGCAATCAGAGGGTATACAAGTTAAAGTTCCACACCATGACAAATATATTTTACTGAGATTTGGACCTGTTTGTGTCGTTGCTGATTCTAAAGCAAGATGTGTATTACAGAATAGATTCCAGTATAATTCATATTGTTCATGTTCATACTGCTATCATATGGCAAAATATTTTTATGGAGCGGGAATAAGGTTTCCATTTTTAGAGAAAGAACCAGAACTTAGGACACATAAGACTCATCTGACGGATGTAAAGGATGTTCTAAAACTTGGCTCCTCGTCTGTGCGAGGAGTAAAAGGGGAGTCAGCTTTCTTAGATAATCCTATTATTGATATGGTATGAGGATTTCCTCTTGATTATGTTCACAACGCAGTTTTAGGTGTTATTGTACAAATGTGGAACAACTGGAACAAAGAATATCATGTTCCTGCTGAGCGTAGAGAAGTCGACAAATTGCTTCTTCAAATTCAACCTCCTCGTGATTTACATAGAGTGACTGAAAAAATATCAGAAAAAAGTTTGTGGAAAGCGACGCATTGGAAGTCTTGGCTTCTGTACTATTGTTTGCCTATTATGTCCAAATTTTTACCACTCGAATTGGTAGAAAATTGTGCCTTATTCGTAAATTCAATTAAAACTTTGCTGCAAATAAAAATTACAGAAGCGGAATTAGCGAAATGTGAAGAAGATTTGTTAATATTTGTTAGTAATTATAACGCATTGTACGGTGACAATAACATGACATTCAATGTTCACATTTTATTACATGCTGTTCAATCTGTTAGAATGACTGGTCCCCTTTGGTCCACATCAGCGTTCCCCTTTGAACATAATATTTTCTGTTTAAAAAATACTATGAATGGGCCAAAAAGTATAGAACAACAAATGTCATCAAAGTCACTGAAACTACTTTCGTACAAACTTGAACCACAGACTCCTAATGTTTCTAGTATTGTTCAAGAGTATTGTAAACATATTTTTAACTCTAAAACTGTAACTGACAGCGCTTTAATATTTGACAATTATACATTTTTCGGACCACATTTAAAAAAAAAGTTTTAGAAGGAGTTGGAATTTGATAGGTGTATAATTAACAATCGAATTTATTGTAGTACAAAGTATAATAGATCGAAGAAATTCAACGACACAATTGTTATTTTGGGAAATGGGACAATTGCACAAATTGCGGGAATAAAGGTAATAAACGGTGTAAAGTGTTGGTTGGAATTGAGAGAACTAGTCCTTAAACCTTTTTCTGTTGGAGAAGTAAAAATCGACCATATTTGGGAAATTACGAAAAATATTCAACATGTAGATATTCCATTGACAGAAATTGAATCCAAAGTTGTAGGCTTAGAATTTGTGGATAAGCAATATGTATGCCAAATTCCGAACACTACTGAGGCTCAGTAATTGTATGGAAATATATATATACATTTATATTTCATTCACTTTAACTTTAAATAAAATAAATTGTGAATTAACTATTATATTTTTATTTGCTTATTCCTATGTTACATATACAATATTGCATATATGTTAATTATTTATCATACTTCTTTATTTATTTAAAATGATTATTATTATCAACATAGAGGAAAATAATAACAATTAATGCTTACTATTTAATTTACTTACTAAATTGAAAAAATTTATTTTTAATTATTAATTTATTATTTTGGAAATTATTTGCGAATTATAGTTGATAAATAAATTTTTATCAGTGCTGATTGAGCTGTCGTGGTATACAGACGTAAATATTGTCCGTCTATTTTCGGCATATAATTTTGAATTTTGTGAATTATTTACTGTCGTGCAAGTGTCTGTGCAACGAAATTTATGGTTCTTAGAATACGAACCGTTACTTTTTTTTTGTTTTTTTGGTTTCCGGCCTCTTGTTCATGTGAATTTTTACCTCCCACACAGCACATGATATTTCCTAAATATTTCCTGAATATTTCACTGAAAGATTGAAATATTTCAGTGCAAAGTTCTAGAAATATTTCTGCAAACAGGAAAATGTCCGCTTATGTGGGAATATTGACGCGAAAGTTGAGAAAATATTTCATTGAAATATTCCTGCAATATTACACATAAAGATTCTGCAATATTGTGAAAATATTTCACAAAATGGAAGAATTTGTTAATGGTTCACCTATGAGAGAAGTTCAAAATTTAGCAAAGTCTGAAAGTTAATAATTAATTGTTATTAATCATAAAATTCAGGAAAAGTTTACAGATAAAGTTGTGTACTGTTGTGGGAAGGGAGAGAGTTACACAATAGTCATACTGTTGTCGTCTTGAGAAATTGCCTCCTGCACAGAGCTCAGAACAGGAAAAATTCCCGCAAAGTTCTGTCAAAGGTGGTGGTTTTTCTCAGTGACGTTCAGACCCATTAACCCCAAAAGCCATCGTCCCGTTCGACCACCTCACGCATTAAGCAGAGCAAGGAATTTCTTCCCGTAGTGCTATAATCAGTGTGGTAGTAAATTGGGGTTAAATAGCTTGTGGGTGTAAGGGTTTCGTTGAGAGTTTGCCTCCTGCACAGAGCTCAGAACAGGAAAAAAATTCCCGCAAAGCACTGTCAAAAGTGGCAACTCTCAGTGACGTATGATTGTGCGTAACTCTCGTACGGGGTGAAGTGAGTACTATAGTACCGACTCACGCGCAAAATCAGGAAATAAATCCCGTATTGCCAGTGTGTACGGTAGTAGTGCAAGAGCTGGTGTAGTAGTGTAGGTAAAAGAAAAAGAGACAACAGTTTAAGTTGGTCTTTAAAATTTTATTTAAAGTTTTATTTAGGAAGAGACTACGGAAGTAGTTCCGTTACAAGGGTTGGCGGCGAAGTGACTCCCTGACTGGGCATTTTCGTCGCCTTTTATACCCAATAACTCTATGCATAAAAAATCTGCCTCTCGGAAGGGGAAGATTTTTTATACATGTAAGAGGGATAACAAGAGACAAACTTGCTAGTCAGCTTACAAATAACTAAAACTTAATATTAAAATATAAAATAAACTTAATTAAACTTAAAAATCTAATTTTACATTCATTTTACCCTAATTGAGACATAATAATGCATATAATTTGCATAACGTTGTATAATTATATTATAAATAAAAGAATATATTTATCTCTTTATTTAATTTAATACTGATTTATTAATTATTTAATTAATACTAATTTATTTATTAATTAAACAATTAAACAATAATCAAAATTAATACTCAAGATAATATAAACGTATTAATAATAAGATTATTATTTTTAAACATTAAAAGAATTATTTCTCAATGGAAAAATAATTAACATTAAATTGATAAAAAATGAACAGCAATTCAATAAAACATAATAGTGTTGATAATATTAACAGTATTAATAATAACACACTAATATAATAATAATTATAATAATAAGAATAATAATATTTATACTTAATCAGTCAAATATTGTTAAACTAATTCTTAGTAAAACAATAAAAAGTATAAGTATCAATGATTATTAAATCATTATTACAATATATCCTGTTAATTTCAAAATTGTTAAAACGAATTTTCACTCGAAGTATATATATATAGTGGTTGCTGGGCCCTTTGAATCTTTGCTGGGGAGGAATGCGAAAGAGGAAAAGCGGAGACGTAGAGTAGAGAGAGACAGAGATAGAAAAGACAGAGAAAGGCGCGCGGTCAGGGAAATCGACGTGTAAGGCCCAGCTAGACTAATTTTTTCTACATGTCGATGTCGAAAAAGTCAACCCAAGGGAAGATACCACATTTTCACGAAGTTGAGACCTTCAAAAAGAAGGGCTCTCAACTTGTGCAGTGGTGTTTTTCTTTCGCGGAATTTTCACATACATGTGACCGGTATCAGAATTAAAATTAATTAATATGATTACTTTGATTTCATATACTTTATCGGGGATAGTATAAAATTGTGTTCAATGTTGAATTGGATTTATTTGCTAAAAATCGTATGCTCGCCACGACAATTAAAATGACTTCAGGTCAAGCACTTATTTTACAGAATACAATGGTTTTAAACTGATTCCAGTTTACGCTATTAGGATAAGTATTAAAATGTAAACAACTTGTGTACTAAATTTTCAAAGAATTAAACAGAATAAAAATGGAAACAGTTGTTTTTACCAAAAATGAATAAAAATGGAACTGGACAAAAACGACATTCGTTTGGATTAAAGTGTGTACAGATTTCATAACAATTTGAATTCACTTTTATCGCTTTTAATCCTCACCTTTTTACCGGGATGTATCGAAATTTTGAACTAACTATGGATCTCCCAACCAAAGTTTATATGGATGAGGCAGCCATATGTGAAAATCCATAGCATGAATTGTAAGCCCAACCATGCCTATGGATGTCACATCCATATTTGATTCAACAATATAATATGGCTCCCTCATCCATTGAATATGGAATGTGCTTCCATTCTGAAAGTTGTCTCTTCCATTGAATTGGATAACACAACAATATTCTGCTCAACAATATTTTTATGGATATCTCTTCCAGACCTTTTCTTTCCGTGAAGATATCGAAAAATGAAATCAATTGATTTATTTAGTCACAAGAGGAAAAAATCGTTAGTATGACCGGTTTGACCAACTCTCCCCAAAATTATACTTTTTTAAAAAAAGTAAAAATTGTTTGAAAGCGAAGCAAAAGTTACTATTTCTTGAGCAGCTTAAAAATTACTACTTGAAAGTAGTAATTTTTCATCGAAAATAGTATAATTATTACTATTTATTTTTCTCCATGTACCAGTAATCATTTAGAAATGCATCCGAAGTTATTCTGATAAAAAGTTTAATTTCGGAAACCATTTCTAAAAGTCACTTCCGAATATCCTCCGACGAGTAATTTTTTATATCACTGTAATATAAGTAATTATAAATGTTTTTTCTATACATTCTAAAAAATAGTTATATTGATATAAATTAATATAATTTATTTATTTCCAGACCTTCCACTTCAACGGATGAAAGTTTGCCAAGTGAAATAAAAGATGCTGAATTTGAGAAAAAATGCGATAAATATAACAACTGTCCTATAAGTCTATTAGATAAAATAAGTTACATGTTGTAAAATTAAAAAATCATCAAACTTGATAGATTTTTCATAAATTTGTCAATTCGAATAGGGGGGAAGTTAAAATAATCTTTGAAAAGCGGTGAAATTTTAAAAAATCTTTTATTATTAATAGGTGAATTTTTTACAATGTTAATAAATAAAAACATTAATAACTCAACTTGTACTGAACCAGTCAGATCCCATTGCACCGAAAAATGCAGCTGCTCCTGATTTTATTGCAGCTCCTGTAGAATCATTTCTTGTATGCTCTTTAAGCTTCTTTTTCTATTATTCAAACAATGTCAAGAAGTACACATTAATAATAAATTATTAACAAAATAGTTATTAGTATAGTGATTTCTCGCGAGTCATTCAATTCTCAAAAATTTTCAAGAACATAAAACTTAGCTTTTCGATTGATTTTAGGGACGTGTGAAGCATATATTTATCGCCCCAAAAGAATATATATATACACGGAGAGAGATTCTGTTTTAATATTTCGTATTATCATATTAGTATTTAGTAAAACCGATTGCAATTTGGGGAAATCGGAATACTTAGAGTTACTGACTGTAAATTTGAAACTTTTTCAAAATACAATTATTTCTCAAAATTCACGCTATAATATTTTCTCTCTAAATTAGAATTCGTAAAAATGTTTACTAATTGAAATTAGTGACTGATTTTTTGCTTTTGAATTAGTAAATTTTACTATTAGATTAGTAGAAACGACTATTAATTAGTTAAATATGCTAATTAAAATGCAAAAAGCCAGTCACTAATTCAAATTAGTAAACATTTTTATTAATTCAAATTTAGAGAGTTTAATATTTAATTATTATCTAACATTTTAATTGATATTCATATTTAATTCAATTTTTATTAGAAAATTCTACGAGAATTCAATTATTTAAATACAAAAAAAAATAATTTATTGAATAATTGAATGTTTCTTAAAATCGAACTCTCATAAAGAATTTTGTCAACAAATTTTTAAATTATTAAAATTCTTTTGACAAAATTTAATAAAAACTTTTAAAAAGAATTTCATTTTTCGAGAAATTTAATTGAAATTGTAAAAAAATAATTGAATCTCTGTAAAAAATTTGATTATTTATGAAAATAATGTAATTATTTTATAAAAAAATTTGTAAATAATTGAATGCATATGAAATTTTCATTATTTATGAAAATCACTTAAGTCAATTGAATGGAATGATTTGATCTAATGAATATTGCTTTAAATCAATTATAAATATTACTTGATTCAATAATGCATAGTTTTTAATTCAAATAAATATTTATTTGCATCAATAAAATAATTTTTTTGAAATAACTAAATATTTATTTGTACACGGAGAAAAATGGAGGGTTAAACTTAGAAGGTTAGGTTTTGAATGTTAGCCTGATTCTCTGGATAATTAGTATGAAAAAGATGAAGATACGTCTATTCTTTTCTTACACGGAGAAAAATGGTGCTGAGTATCTAGTAAAAGTTCCTATGGAATAGTAATAATTCTACTTTTATATTAAAAATTACTATTTATAGTAAAATGTACTTCGCATGAAGTAAATATTACTTTTTCTGGTAGTAAAAATTACTAATAGTAATTATTACATTAGTCACTTTTAAAAATTGCTTTATTTAATTTTTACATCGGCATTGTAAATTTCATTAAATTTTGTATTACTTTTTACATTCGATATGTTGTAAATATTACTCGTAGAAATTCTAATAATTACTTCTGCAAGAAACAACTTTTACTTTTGCAGAGCGAACTTTTTTTGAGACGCATGCATATCCCCTAATCGCCAAGTCGTCGAATGATCAAATAGTCGAATTATCAATTCGTCGAATGTTAAAAACATCGAATGTTCAAAACGTCGAATGCTCAAAACGTCGAATCGTCATTTAGTCGAATGGTAAAACCATCCATTCGTCGAATGCTCAAATAGTCGAAACGCCATCTGTTCGAATTATCAAGTAGTAGAATGGTAAAGTTGTCGAATGTTCAAAACGTCGAATCGTCATCTGTTCGAATTGCCAAGTAGTAGAATGGTAAAGTAGTCGAATGGACAAAAAGTCGAAACGCCATCTGTTCGAATTATCAAGTAGTAGAATGGTAAAGTTGTCGAATGTTCAAAACATCGAATCGTCATTTATTCGAATGCTAAAAACATCGAATCTTCATTTAATCGAATGCTAAAAACATCGAATTGTTAATTCATCGAATGCTTAAATCATCGAATTTTCCATTCGTCGAATGTTCAAAACGTTGAATGATCAAAATGTCGAATGCTAAAAACATCGAATTCTCAAATCGTCGAATGCTCAGAACATAGAATAGTCAGTTCGTCGAATGCTCAAATAGTCGAAACGCCATCTGTTCGAAATGTCAAGTAGTAGAAGTGTAAAGTAGTCGAATGGTAAAGTAGTCGAAACGCCATCTGTTCGAATTGCCAAGTAGTAGAATGATAAAGTAGTCGAATGTTCAAAACGTCGAATGATAAAAACGTGGAATGCTCAGAACATCGAACTGTCAATTCGTCGAATGCTCAAAGCGTCGAATGATAAAAACGTTGAATGCTAAAAACATCGAATCGTCAAAAGTTCGATGTTTTTAGCATTCGACGTTTTTATCATTCGACTACTTTACCCTTCTACTACTTGACATTTTGAACAGATGGCGTTTCGACTATTTGAGCATTCGACGAACTGACTATTCTATGTTCTGAGCATTCGACGATTTGAGAATTCGATGTTTTTAGCATTCGACATTTTGATCATTCGACGCTTAGAACATTCGACGAATGGAAAATTCGATGATTTAAGCATTCGATGAATTAACAATTCGATGTTTTTAGCATTCGAAGAATTGACGATTCGATGTTTTTATCATTCGACTAAATGACGATTCGATGTTTTTAGCATTCGACGTTTTGAACATTCGAAGTATTGACAATTCGATTTTTTGAGCATTCAACAAATTGATAATTCGACGTTTTGAACATTCGACATGTTGACGATTCGATGTTTTTAACATTCGATGAATTGATAATTCGACGTTTTGAACATTCGACGAATTGAGAATTCGATGTTTTTAGCATTCGATTAAATGAAGATTAGATGTTTTTAGCATTCGACTAAATGACGATTCGATGTTTTGAACATTCGACAACTTTACCATTCTACTACTTGATAATTTGAACAGATGGCGTTTCGACTTTTTGTCCATTCGACTACTTTACCATTCTACTACTTGGCAATTCGAACAGATGACGATTCGACGTTTTGAACATTCAACAACTTTACCATTCTACTACTTGATAATTCAAACAGATGGCGTTTCGACTATTTGAGCATTCGACGAATGGACTATTCGATGGTTTTACCATTCGACTAAATGACGATTCGACGTTTTGAGCATTCGACGTTTTGAACATTCGACGTTTTGAACATTCGACGAATTGAGAATTCGATGTTTTTAGCATTCGATTAAATGAGGATTCGATGTTTTTAGCATTCGATGTTTTGGCCATTCGATGTTTTTAGCATTCGACGTTTTAAACATTCGTCGTATTGACGATTCGATGTTTTTAACATTCGACGAATTGATAATTCGACGTTTTGAACATTCGACGTATTGACAATTCGATGTTTTTAGCATTAGACTAAATGCCGATTCGATGTTTTTAGCATTCGACGTTTTGTCCATTCGATTACTCGGCATTCGACTATTTGATCATTCGACGACTTGGCGATTAGGGGATATGCATGCGTCTCCTTTTTTCTCGAAAAAGAAGTAATCCGTACCACTACTACTATAGACCTGTGTGTTTGATGACGTCACTACTGTCATGCCCAGCGATCGTAGCCTGACGTCAAAGTCATTAGATTATAATACTATACTCCAAAGTTTTATACACATATTAAAATGTGCAATTCTAGCTTTGTATAAAATTATTTATAACATTTATTGAAATAATTCTTTTTTATTTTATACAAAATCAGAATAAAAAATCTAAAAATAATTATCTAATAATTTCAGAATTAAATTAAGTAATTTTAAATTAATAAACTGTCGTTTATTATTATTATTATTATTATTATTATTATTATTATTATTATTATTTTTTTTTTTTGTTTTACGAGGGAAGTTGGAAATCTGTTCATTATCAGATACCTCATGGCCCGTACCATGAGGTTATGTGGGGATGAACTCCGAACCACTACAAAGTGTAGCTTCAGCTAAAACAAGTTAGCCTAAGGCTCTGTCGACCCACTAAAACCAACTCCCCTTTACCAGGACTCTATTTCCACTTGCGGAACTACCTAATGGCTTTACTTCGCAAGTGGAAGTCCTCTCTCTTACTCCTCTCTGTCCATTGTTAAAAAGCAATCCTTTCATTAACCACCGGGGGGGAAGTCGCGGGAGTGGGAGGAGGAACGAGAATCTTCTCCCGTCCACATCTTTTGTCCTCATTACCGATGTAATGAAGAACTCGATGTGACGCCAAGAGTCCGCGCTTTGGAGCATAGTTGAGACCATGTCATCAGCGGTGAATTGAGTTTTCACCGCGTCAAACATGGCCCGTCTTAGCTCACTCCATTGCCCGCAGGAGAAGAGAGTGTGTTCCGCGTCGTCTATTTCAGCGCCGCAATACACACATTTTGCCTCCTTTCTGATCTTAAATCTATGAAGGTACTGACCGAAGCAGCCGTGACCAGTCATCGCTTGCGTAAGGTAATAGCCAACCTCGCCGTGCTTTCTTTTTAACCAGGTGGCGAGGTGGGGAATCAGGCGGTATGTCCACCTTCCTTTGGATTCCCCATCCCATCTTGCCTGCCAACTATCGACTAGTCTGATTCTTGCCGATTTGCGGATAGCCATCTTTAGGCTACCGCCGCTCTGTTGTTCCTGCGAGACAACTCGTTCTTTATTGAGCTGAAAGACTTTCTGTCTTTCTCTTGCCAACAAATCTGTTGGCGGTGTACTCGCAAGAACTAGAGCAGCGCAATCAGACACCGTCCTGTAGGCTGAGATTACTCTCCGTGCGCTCCCTGTCTGCACAGAGAGCAACCTGTCCAAGATGGCGTGGGTCTTAAGGGCATCAGCCCATACAGGGGCAGCATAAAGCTGCTTTGCTAGACCCACGGTCGCCACCAAGCGCCGCTTCTTTTCCCTGGGACCACCGATGTTGGGCATTAACCTAGATAGGTTACCCATACATTCGGCGGCCTTGAGTGCTGTGATGTGAGGACCGAAGCTTAGCCTTCGGTCCAA